ACATTCCTGCAATGTTTTCAATTTTAATTCACAATGATTTTTCTTTTTTTTTTTAAGATTTATTTATTTACGTATGCAAGAACGGGGGTACAGGCTAGAGGTGCAGAGAAGGGGGTGAGAGTATTCACCAGAAACAGTGGGGAACAGAACAGGCAGAACGACTGAAAAACAGTGCTGAGGAGAGAAGGGTGAAGTCAGGTGAGGTCTGCAGAGCCATGTGGGTATCTGCCTGGCTGGGGATCAAACTCCTTCTGCAGTGGCTGCAGACAGCTTCATAGGCTGTATCTTATCCCCTTGCACCACCAGGGAGGCCCCACAATGATTTTTCTTAAGGCTATTCACTTGAGTTTTTGTAGATTAATTTTGATTAATTTAATAGACAAACACCAAACAACAACAACAACAACAAATGAAAAGGAAAATTGCAGTGCTTCACAAATTTGGACTTTGTAATGGTATATGTTAACATTGTTGAAAACATAAAATACTGGGGAAAAAAAGTGAAGGAAAGAGGATTGTCCTAATAATTACTGACAGTCTAGTGTCTGTTGTTCTTTTGTTATGTATTTGTGTATATGTAGTGTAAGCATCAGTTTAATTTCTGCTGTGTCCTTTACTGTTTTTTCAGCTTTCTGATACACTTGCAAGTTTAAACTTTGTTAATTCCTTTGTCATTGAAATAATGTGAGAAGAATGTGTTGTTGGTCTAAGAGACTCCCAGAGAGCATGCTGTGGACTTGACATATTGTAAACTCATCAATCTAAAACTCTCTATGCCATAAAATAACTGGTCTTACCTGCTGAGCATTTAAAGTTCTTACCTTTCTGTGACATGTTAATCATGTTAGTCACTGTTAACTTATTGAAATTCTTTATAATTTTTAAAGCTGTTGCTTTTCCCTTGGTTTCTAAGTTTTGTTATATACTTTGCAAGGAAATTTTTGAAGTAAATGCTTCATTCACTTGCTTAACATTTTGAGTGGAGAAAAGTTGTAAAATTAAACATTGACAATAAATTCAGATTTTGTGGCCACCCATAAGCTTTAGTCAGTAGAGTGTTTGTTTTTTTCTTAATTTTAAAATTTTTCTATAAAAAAGGACAAAGGAATTCATCAAATCAACAAACATAAAGCCTAGAAATATGACTTCAGAATTGAGGCTACTACAGAGGATGAGATGATGGGTGTGGAAGCAAATCCCTGAGGGAGCAATGGTCAGGGTAATAGGGCTTAGTTTTTGTGGCTGGGGTGGTGACATACACTGAGGGGTTTTAAACTCTTCCCCTAAATCCCATGCAATGATGTAATCCACTGTTACCTCAATAAAGAAAATAAATAATTAACTAAATTAATAAAAAACATTTATTTCTCTTAGTAGTCTGGAATTATTAATTTCCTTGCAAAATTCTAGCTTCAGAGTATTTTGCTATGTAAGGTTATTCAAATTAAATTTTAAATTTTATTTTAATTAAGAGTTGTTCAGGAAGATAGTTTTCATTTTCCAATATTCAATGTTTTGTTTTAAACTTTTGCTATGATTACTGGCTACATTGTTTTCATTCATCCAATAATGATTGATGTGCATTCCTATGTTAATGACATGTATATTTCTCCAAGTAAATCATGGAGCAGTTATATATGATTGGCTCTAGTCTCTACTACTATTTGCTACTCTTCCAGGTTAGCACATTATATCTATCCTCACATTGCAGCATTATTAAAAAAAAATCTATTATTACCATGATATTGAAGCTGTATATTTATAGCTATTCCTATTTGTTTATTTGCAACTAGAGATAAGTATTTGAGAAGCATTTATTGCTCAGTAACATGCATTTTTAGATAATTACTCTCTTGGATATGCAATGTCTCATTTCACATATATATAGGCAGTTTTTGTTTCTGTGATTTTTTTTTATGAACTATGCCCTCATCTATCTTTCATTTATCTCTGTTTCTATGATGAGTAACATGACCTGTTGGTTTATGTTGGCAGAGATGGTCAACAGATTCCACACTTTTGTCAAAAACGCTTAGCTTTAGGTAGTGATTAATTAAGACTTCACTACTCTCTTTATAATGTATCCTAGAAAGCATTTATATATTGTTATTGCAAGGGCATAATATGATCTATAGCAATATAAAAATGTTGCTGCATATCCTATAGTTTCCCTGCTATGTTAATACATATCGTATTTTGTGTAAGATGTAATTTTTTGTAATTTAGGTCATAATATTCCAGTTTTGGGCACTATGCCAATAATATTTAATGTAATGTGTAATGAAAAATAAAAACAGCAGTGTTTTATTAATTGATATATAATAATGGTAATACTATATTTTGTTGAGCTCTTATCATGTCCCACAATACTCTAAAAGTTGAGCTGTGCATTAACATGTTTTATATATATCAGATAACTTCCAGGTAGATGTCTATGTATAAATCTAAGGGGGGAGAAGGTTACCAATGACTTCATTGAAGATACTATGGAAATATGTAAGCTGTGATTTTGCTATGGATTGCAGGGCCATTGCTAAGCTAGTCAAATGTAATCAGCATAAAATTAATATTACCTGCAACTATGGGCAGCTACTCAAGTTGAATCAGGGATATGAAGATTAATAATATGTATTTAAATGTATATGTGACTCTGTGTTTAAACCTATTTTTACACAATAGATATGTGTGTGGATGTATATATTCATTTATACCAAATTTCATATGATGAAGACTTAACTCCTGGTATTTCACTATATGACTCCAGTGACAAGATCATTGTGTGGGTAATTAACTTAAAATTAGCTTTTAAGGGTGTGATCTAATCAAATGGGACAGGGACTGGCATGATGAGAACAAAGGATCACAGCACAGAAACATGGAGGGCGAATGGCCATGTGGAGAGATAAAGAGAGGACATCTACCTACAGTGAAGGAGAGGGACCTGCCAGAAATCAGCCCTGACTTATCTTGAGCTCAGGCTTCTAGATTGAGAACACGGAGAACTAAATTGCTGTTATTTAAGCTCCCAGTCTGTGGTATTTGGTTACATCACCCTAACAAACTAATATTCTCAGACATCATATTGTGCACGTGTGTTCACATGTGTGCAGGTGTACATATCAGAGTGAGTGAAGAAATAACAGAGAATAATAGAGTTTCTCTGTATGTGTGGAAACCACTTAGGTGGATGTGCAGTTACAATCTTTATAAGAAAATAAAAAGTGCTACAAAAGTAAAGTTTTTAAACCTTTTGATTTTGAGTCAAAGACAAGGGGCTATGGTAATGGTTCACCGGTGAACTGGTGGTGGAAATTTTACAGGGAATATACATTGATAAAAAAGCTATAAATAAAATATATATAAAAAACAAAGAGCTTAAATCTTTATTCAGTGTACTGGTCAGAGTAAAAATATACTTTGTTGATGCACCAACTGTCCTAGCTCTGGATTATATCATAATATGATCTCATAAAATACAAAAATATTTCACTGTGGAAAATAAATGATTCCATCCCTTGTAGTTTTAAAATAGATTATTTAAGTGAATATCTAGAAGCTCTTTGTTTACCTCCCCCATTAAAAATTTAGAGCTCCACAAAACAAGACAAAGACAGGCTCTTTATTACATGATTTTTAAGGGAGAAAGCAAGTGTATCCTGAAAACTTAAAAAGCTGTAATGAGTCCTTGAACTTTTGTCCTTGGAAACAGGCCAAACACTTTTCTTTGGGAATTGGTCTTACATGGATGACCCAACCTGGCATTATCACCATCCCCAATATATGAGGTACCCTGGAATGATCAGGAGGAGAGACAAGACAACCCCATCTACTATGTTCTCATAACTCCCTGATATTCTTTAAAGAATCACTGCAGGCAAATTCCACTTGACCAGGATCTTAACAAAACTCCTTGGTCAATTACTTTACATCATAATTTAAAAAAAAATGAGTGTACAAAATTTTAAAAAGAACTTATCTAAAAGAAAACATATTATCACAGAAATTTCTGACGCAAATGATTTTCATATTTTACTTCTGAGAAAAATTTAAGGTAAACAATTTGTGGACAGGTAATATTGGAAGAAGTTTTTTTTTTTTTCTCCACAAACTTGGTTCACAGTAAGTATTATGCTCAAAATTAGAGGGCTTTAATTCAAGTCAAATAAATGGACACAGTCAAGGAGAGCATAACACAGATCATTTAAACCTTAGAGTCTAAATGATTCCAGTGCTTGAGGAAACAGAAACACAGAGTTAATGGAATCAGGGTAATATCAGAGACAAAATTTCAAAAAAACAATTTTGCAGAAATTTGATTTTGAAAGGTCAGTTTAGGAAAACACTTTATCTTGTGGAACTTGTTTATTATTAACTTCATATTAATAACTGTTCATATTAGTAAATCTAATACACTCCACTGAAGTCCTTTTAGTTTGAAGTTTATTGTTATTAATTTTATTAGAAAAATGCAGTTAGAAATTATGCTTAAAACAATACTTTCACTGTTTATTATATTAATGTTTGTTTCATGTATGTTGAATTAATTAAAATGGGGAAGATGGTATTTGATAATCTCTCTGCAGTCAGTCTACACTGTGGACTCACAATATCATAATTTAATAACTCTGACACACACTATATATCTTGAATTGTCTATGTACTTTACATGATCTAAAAAAATACCTAATATTAACAGCTATGGTATAATATTCATATGTGAAATGTATTAGAACAGAGAAATATTTAGAAGACTGTCAGTTTCACTCCAATTGAATAATATATCTGGATTGATTACATAATGAACAATGACCAATATATACCCATTACTGTACTTGACAATCAAATTCAATTTTTTCATTATATTCTGTAAACCACTCTTTGATAAGATGCAGAAAACAACAGACATATATATGCCAGATCATTCATAGAAACCTGAAACTTTTTGATGTTACATCACCTATCAATTTTGACTTCTCAACAGGTAAAATCAGTGGCGCATAATGCATAGGTGGAATAACACAAACGTGGCTGACTTCATCCTTTTGGGGTTTACAGATGCTGAAGACATCCAGGTGGTGCTCTTTATGCTGTTTCTTCTTATATACCTGGTCACTGTGTTAGGTAATGCAGGAATGATAATGATCATCTGCCTAGATGCCCAGCTTCACACCCCCATGTATTTTTTCCTCAGTCACCTGTCTTTCATTGACCTCAGTTACTCATCTGTCATCACACCTAAAACCTTAGATAACTTACTAACCTCCAATAAGAAGATTTCATATGTGAACTGTTTCACTCAAATGTATATTTTTGTCTTCTTGGTTGCTGTTGAATGTTTTCTTCTCTCCTCCATGGCCTATGATCGCTATGTAGCCATCTGCAATCCTCTCCACTACCCAGTCGTCATGTCCACAAGACGTTGCTGGTCCCTTGTTTTTGGGTCCTATTTGGTAGGTTTCACAGACTCCTTAGTCAATGAGCTTTGCATGAGGAGATTGAGATTCTGCAACTCCAATGTAATCCATCATTTTTTCTGTGACACATCCCCAATTATAGCCTTATCTTGCACTGAAACCCATAACACCGAACTGATGATATTCATTTTCGCTGGCACGAGTCTTGTGGCATCTCTTATCACAATATCAGTGTCCTATGTGTCCATTCTTTCTACTATTCTGAAAATTAATTCCACTTCAGGAAAGAGAAAAGCCTTCTCCACCTGTGCCTCTCATCTCATGGCTGTCACCATCTTTTATAGCACTATGATCTTCAGTTACTTAAGACCAAATACATCCTACTCCTTGGGAAAGGATCAGGTGGCTTCTGTATTTTATACTATTGTGATCCCCATGCTGAATCCACTGATTTATAGTCTTCGCAACAAAGAAGTGAAAAATGCTGTCCTTAGACTCCTGCAGAAGACAGATGCCTCCAGGCACTTGTAATAGTGATACTGAACATTTTCTTTAAAGAAATATTTTTACTATGTATCCAAGACATACTGTACCTTTACAATATTTTTGTTATCAGGTAAGATTGGTTTATATTCCTGTTTCTAAATTTAAAAAATAGGATCCCCTTTTCCAGACGTTTTCACATGGTGCTTCCACCACCAAAGGATCCATAGACCACCCCCATGGAACACGTGCTCCCTCCCATATGTGTTTGCCCCTCTCCTAGCTCTTGCCCCTCTGAATGTCTCAGTTCCATAGTCAGGTTTTAAGGGCTAGGTTTTGAGCTTTGCCCTCTGATCTTTTGTCTTGTTTGTCAATATTACAAAGCTAAGTGTCACCACTGAGTGTTTGTTTAATTTCTTCTGACATTTCTTTTGGCATAATTCCTTTCACTATGCTAAGCTTTAGAGCTACTCTTTGCTTTCTATACTATACGGCATTTCCTTAAGTTCTGACTAAAAACTACAGACTTCTTTTATTTACTTGTATTTCTGTTGATTCATTGTCACTTGTCCAAATATAATCTTGGACATTTCCATGAATAGTTTTTTATAAATCCATATTGTCATGGATATCACAAAATAGTTCTAATAATTATGGTCTCGATTTAAGGACAACTGATGCACAAACTAAGAAAAGAGAGTTGTCATCTTTTAAACTATAGCATACCAATACCATTGCATAGTCCAGAAATTTTGTTATGGAAAAGCACTCCATTGTTGGCTCAATACAGTTTCAGCAGTCATTGATTCCATTATATTCAAGAAATATAGTAGAATGACTATGAGCACTTCTTTAGACCAGAAACCTAGATTTTTGACTCTAGATCTGCTTAACTTTTAGCTATATAATATTTAGTAAATCACTCCTTCTTAGAACCTCAGTTTCTGAAACTGTACAAGAGAAATCATAATCCCAGGCTTGTACTGTTTTATAAAGTTTAAACCAGACGATGAATGTAAAAGTTACAAGGCATTTCTAATAAATAGTGTCCATTATTACAAGAAGATTTACATTTATATAATATTTTCAATATGCAATGGTTTTCTTAAGGATATTCCCTGGTGTTTTATGAATTAATATTGATTATTTTTTTAGATGATCACACAACTAAAAAAGAAAAATCTCAATGCTTTACAAATTTGGATTTGTTAGGGTAGCTGTTGACATTGGAGAAGGCATAGAACATACTGAAAAAATAGAAGGAAAGATAATTGCCCTAATAATTACTGACAGCTTAGTGTCTATTCTTTAGTTATGTTCATGTGCATATATATTAAATGTATTAATAAAATGTCTGGTGTTTCCTATGTACTTTTTTTGCAGCTTTCTGATACTGTGAGTTTAAACTTTGTTAATTCCTTTGTCTTTGAAGTATTGGGAGATGAATGTGTCCCAGATAGCATGTTGTGGACTTGAAGTGCTGTAAGTCCATCAATTTAAAGCACTGCATTCAATAAAATCACTTTGGTTTCCACCTGGTGAACATTTAAAGTCTTTATCTTTCTGTGACATGTTAATAGCTTCAGTCCTCTTAACTTGTTGAAATTCCTTATAATTTTTAAAACCTTGGTTTTTAAGTTTTGTTATATATTTTGCAAGTAAGTTTTTGAAGTAAATGGTTCGGTCACTTGTTTTCCATTTTTAGTGGAGTAAATTTGTGGAGCTAAGAATTGACAATAAAGTCAAAATATGTGGTCACCAGTAAAGTTTAATCAGGAGAGTGATTGGTTTTCCATCATTTTAATGTTTTTTGCTAAAAAAAATAGAAAGGAGCTGACCAAACTAAAGAAATATAACCCCTAGAAATATGACTGAAGAATTGAGGCTACTACAGTGGGAGAGAAGATGGGTGTGGAGGCAGAGATGGGAGGGGGCAATAATCAAGGTAGAGGGGCTTAGATGGCATGGGTGGGGTTTTAACCTATTCCCCCAAATCCCCTGCAGTGCTGTAATTTAATGTTACCCAATAAAAAAATAAATGAACAAGTGATTAAGATAATAAAAAACCTTCATAATCCCTAATTGTTTTTTAATTTCCTCACAAAACTCCAGCTTTAGAGAAATTCATTCTTTAAGGTTCTGTAAATTTATTTTAGACCTTTTTTAAATTTGAAAGTTGTTTAAGAAGGTTTTTTATTTTGGTCCAAGTATTGGATATTTTTTGTCCTTCACACTGTTGTTATGTTTACTAGAGGGATTGTTTCCATTCACCCAATAATGATGCAAATGCATGCTTGTATTAATAAAATACATATTTCTACCAGTAAATTCTTTTGTATTTATATGTAATTGGCTTGAGTCATCACTGAAACTTCTTTTAGGAAGAAGCACATTGATATTCATCTTTACATTGCATTAAGTTATTTTAATATTTCTGTTACTTCCATATTTCTTAATAGTTTTAAGTAATAAAAGTAATACTTTAATTACTACTAATATTTCTGTTATTTTAATATTTCTATCAATACCATTAATATTATTATAACTTATTTTTACTTTGCTACAAATGGAATCCAGATTTTATACTTATAGCTATTGTTATTTACTTATAATTGCAAACAGAGATAAATACTTGACAAGGATTTAATGTTCAGTAATTTGCATTTTTGGATCATCTCTATCTTGTATATGCAATGTATCATTCATATATTTACAGATATTTTTGTGGCTTTTTATGAACTATTCTTTCACCTTTCTTTTATGTCTATTTCTATGATGAGTCAGTGTGTCCTGTTTGTTGATGCTTGCAAAGATGTTCAACAAATTCCACATTTTGTTCTTAACACTTACATTTAGGCAATGCTTAATTAAGAAAACCCTGTTTTGTTTATAATGTTGTATAGAAAACATTTATATAGTTATTGCATATGTATAACATGATCAATGGCAATATAAGCTTCTACATTTCTGCTATAATTTACCTTTTATATTAAATTTTTTTCATTTATTTTTTATTTTTATATTCCCCATACAATTGCAACCCCCTGATTTTGACCCCAATCCCTGCTTTCCCCCGCACCTCCCCCACCCCACAAAGTGTGTCTCTGATTCATAGTTGTTTGTTGATTTTGATTTTTTTCTTTCTTATAGTTATTCTTTTTCCTGGTCCCTTATTTAAGTTGTCTAGATTCCTGTTATGAGTGAGACCATCTGGTATTTTTCTTTTTCTTTCTGGCTTATTTCGCTGAGCATGATCCCTTCCAGCTCCATCCATGTTGCTGCAAATTGCATGTGTTTATCTTTTTTGAATGCTGAGTAATATTCCATAGTGTATATGTACCACATTTTCTTGATCCAGTCATCTATTTTTGGGCATTTGGGTTGTTTCCAACGCTTAGCTATTGTAAATTATGCTGCTATAAACATGGGGTGCGGGTGCTCTTTGGAATTAATGTTTCTGTGTCCTTTGGGTAAATACCTAGGAGTGGAATTGCTGGATCATATGGAAGCTCTATCTTTAGTAGGTTGAGGAATCTCCACACAGGTTTCCATAGTGGTTGGACCAGTTTGCACTCCCACCAACAGTGCAGGAAAGTTCCTTTCTCTCCACACCCTTGCCAACATTTGTTGTTGCTAGTTTTTTTAATATGTGCCATTCTTACTGGTGTGAAATGGTATCTCATTGTCATTTTGATTTATATTTCCCAGATTGCAAGTGACATTGAACATTTTTCTGTTATATTAATATTTATCATACTTTGTGTGAGATGTGATTTGTTATAATTTAAAACACAGTATTCTAGTTTTCAGTACCATGACAAACTGGTATTTAATATAATGTAATAATGAATAATATGAACAGCTGTGTTTTTAAATTGATATATAAGATCAGTTATGATATATTTTGCTGAGCTCTTATGACGTCCCACAATACTCTAAGGAACTAAGAAGTACTTTAACATACTTTATCTTCATTAGGAGACTCAGTTAGCTAGTATCAATACAAATGTTAATTGCACTAATAGACAGCCCTTTTTTTTTTTTTTTTTGCTCAGCAAATTCTTTTGGTCTTTTTTTTATTTGCTCAGCAAATCCTTAAGATTGATTCTGGAATATTCATTTATTCTCACATGCTTCCTAGCCAATCCATCAGTATATTATATTGATTCTAAATACAGACTATCTTTGGAGTCTGACTGTTTCTCAACACTTTCTATGCTGCTACCCTAGAGAAGGAAACACCTTTTCCATTAGAATTATTGCTCCAGCACCCTGGCTTGTGTCCCCACTTTGGATTACTCTATATATTGATGAGACTTTTGGGGCACCATCAAGGGGATCTTTACAAAATAAAAATAGCAACAAAAATACTAATAATGATAATGACAGTAATAACCATGGAAAGAAGTTAGGAAGACCACTTCTAGTTAACTTTGAAGGATTTGTTCTTGCAGTGTAAATACCATCTGTTGGAAGCAGGGATAGATATGCACATAGTAGGGTGCTTTCTATTCCTTGGTTCTTGGACTGACGAATGAGGAGTTGGTCCCCCTGCAAAAGCATCAGAGTGGAAGGGTAAAATGAAGCACAGGCAAAGCTGAGTCATCAGGGAGACCCACAGAGATGGGCTGGGGTTCAGTTGCAGGAAGAGATAAATCTGTTTGCCCGTTGTAGCTTGTCTGTGAATAAAGCTTGTCTATTGCCATCCTTGAATTAAGTGTAATTTTGAAAATGCCAATGCCCAGTCCATATATTCCCTGCAAAATAAGGAATGGATTTATTGTCCATAATCTGAATAAGAAAATAAAAGGAAAGGATGTGCATCCTCAGACACCAGCATGATGATGACTCAGGAATTTGGACACATTATCTGTCCCTGAATGACAGGCTGTATTTAGATTGGTGCCAAAGCATAAATCTGAGGAGGGAGCAGGGTGTCAATGACTTTTTGGAAAATAGTATGGAATGTGTACCTGTGGTTTTGCTCTCAATTACATGGTAGCTGCCAAGCTAAGTCAAATGCAATCATTATAAAGTAAATGTTACCTGCAACTATGGGAGTCTATTCAATATGAATCATATGGATATGATGGTGAATACTAGGCATTTAAATATATGTGATTTGTATGTAAACATGTGCATATACAATAACTATATATGTGTGTTATGTATACATATATTTATAGACCAGTATTCATACATTAAAGACTTAAGTCCTGGTACTTCAGTATGTAACTTTAATGATAGGATTTTGTGCAGGTAATTAACTTAAAATTAGTTCTTAAGAGTACATGCTAATCCAATGGGACTGGTATCATGAGAAGAAAGAATCCCAGCACAGAACATGGAGAGAAATAGCCATGTGAAGAGACAAACAGAAGATGTCTACCTGCAAGGGAAGGAGGGGGACCTCACCAGAAAACAGTCCTGACTTCATCTTGAGCTCAGGCTCCTAGATGCAAAACAGTGAGAAATAAATCACTGTTGTTTAAGCTCCCAGTCTGTGGCATTTGGTTACAGCAAATCTAACAAATTAACACTCTCAATATCAGTGTATATGTGCACATGTGTTCACATGTGTGTGTACAGGGGTATATATCAGAGTGAATCAGAATGAGCAGAGGGCGGTAGAGTTTTCCTGTATGTGTGGAAACTGCTTACGTGGAGGTGTGGTACAATCATTACATGAAAATGTCTACCAATAATAAAAAGACACTACAAAGGAGAAGTTTTTTTTTTTTTTAATCTTTTTGATTTTGATACCAGGAGCACAATTCTTTATTTGTTTGAGTGTGATGGTCAGCATGAAAAATACATTTTGTTGATGCACCAAACCTCCATACACTGAAAAAATTCACTGTGAAAACTGAGCATTCCATCCTTAATGGTTTCAAAAGAGAGTAAACAGGGTTGATTCTAGAAATCAGTTTTTTACATCCCTAGTTGAAAACTTAGAGAGTCACAATACAAGACCAGACCAGGCTCTTTCTTGGGTGGTTTCTAAATGACAAGGCAACAATTTCATTGAAATGTTGAGTCCTTCAGCTTTTGTCTTTGGAAGAAGGCCAAGCAGTCTTTAGAAATTGGTCCCTCAAGGATGACCAAACATTGTATTACCACCATCCCAATATATGAGATGCCCTGGAATCATCATGATGAGAGACAAGGCAACACTGCTTTGCTGTTCTCAGAAATCCCTGATATTCTTTGAAACATCAGTCACAGCCAGCAAACTTTTACTTGATCAGGTCTTTAAAACAATTCCTAGGTTGATGTATTATTTCATCAAAATAAAAAAAATACATTCCCAAATACTTAAAAGGAACTTATCTCAAAGTGCACATATATTACAGTATTTTTTATTTAAATTGACCATGTTTTATTCGTGAGGAAAGATTTATGTTGAACCATTTCTAGACTGATACCATTGGACGAAGATTTTTGTGTTTTCAACCAACTTTGAATCACAGTAAGTATTGCTCTCAAAACCACAGGTTTTAGTTGGATCAAAAGAAATGACACCTATGGAAAGAATATGCACACATGTCATTAAGACTTGACTCTAAGTGATGCCTATACCTGGGGAGACAGAAACATGGAGTTGATGGAATCAGGGTCTCCAAGCAGTATATATACACTAATGTGTATATTACATTAGTAATATAATCTGGGGAGATTTTGATATTAAATGGTCAAATTCTGAAAACATTTCTTCTGGAAATTGGTACTGATATTAATTAGTATTAATTACTATAAAAAAATGGGACTCATTTAAGCTTGACATTTATCATTTATGCAAAATTATGTTAGAAACAATGGGCAGTTATGTTAGAAGTAACTGATGCCTTAATGCTATATTTCTATCATTGTTTTATACATATATCATTTTTATAGGCTTGCTGGAATTAATAATAATGAGGAATATGGTATTTGACTAATTTCTGTGGAGTCAGTCTCTCTTGGAGACTCACAGATCATCATTTAACAGTTCTGACTCAAGAAAAAATTTCTTGAATTATGTCCTTTTCTCATCTAACAGACATGACTAACAGTAACATCCGTGGAACAATATCATCATGTGGAATAAATGAATTACAAAAAGAAAGTGATTAGAATAGTGTCAGTTTCATTCCAATTAATATATCCAGTTTTATTACATCATGTCCAATCATCAATTTATATCAATTTCGATAGTTAGCAATAAATATTCAATATTTTCCACTATATCTGTAATCTATTATTATTAACTAGAAACATTAAATTAATATACACATGCCAGGCCATTCATAGAAACCCATATTTGAATAATTTCTGCTAAGTATGAACTCTGACTTCTCAACAGGTAAAAGCAGTGTGGCACAATGCAGAGATGGAATAATACGGAGGTGCCTTACTTCATCCTAATGGGATTGACAGATGCTGAAGACATCCAGCTGGTGCTCTTTGTGCTGTTTCTCCTGATATACCTGGTCACCGTCTTGGGGAATGCAGGGATGATACTGATCATCCACTTGGATGCTCTATTTCACACACCCATGTATTTTTTCCTCAGTCACCTGTCGTTTCTTGACATCAGTTACTCAACTGTGATCACTCCAAAAACCTTAGAGAATTTACTGACCTCCAGCAAGCAGATTTCCTACGTGAATTGCTTTACCCAAATGTGCCTTTTTGTCTTCTTTGGTGCTTCTGAATGTTTTTTTCTCTCCTCCATGGCCTATGATCGCTATGTAGCCATCTGCAAACTTCTCCACTACCCTTTTGCTATGTCCTCAAGACGCTGCTGGTCCCTCGTACTTGGGTCCTATTTGGTAGGTTTTACAGATTCTTTAGTCATTAAGCTTTGCATGAGGAAATTACATTTCTGTGACTCCAATGTAATTCATCATTTTTTCTGTGATTCATCTCCAGTTATCGCCCTGTCTTGCACTGAAACCTACAACACTGAACTGATGATATTCATTTTTGCTGGCTCCACACTCATGGTGTCTCTAATTACACTATCAGTGTCCTATGTGTCCATTCTCTCCACTATCTTGAAAATTAATTCTGCTTCAGGAAAGAGAAAAGCCTTCTCCACCTGTGCCTCTCATCTGCTGGCTGTCACCATCTTTTATAGCACCATGATCTTCAGTTACTTAAGACCAAGTACATCCTACTCCTTGGGAAAGGATCAGGTGGCTTCTGTGTTTTATACTATTGTGATTCCCCATGCTGAATCCTCTTATTTACAGCCTTCGCAACAAAGAAGTGAAAACTGCTGCCCTTAGACTCCTGCAGAAGAGAGAGGGCTCCAGGCTTTTGAAGTAGTGATGCTGAGGTTTGAATTTCCTCTTTTCCTTCTTCCCTGTAGGTTATTTTCTTAAGGCCTCTCTGAAACAATTGACTCCTTTCATTTGCTTTAGTTTCTGTTGACACATCTGTTACTTGACCAAATATGATCTTGGACCTTTCCAAGGATTTTATGTATAGACACTTATATTTTAAAGAAAATCATGAAATAGAATTTGTATTTATGTTCTCAATTTTTTTAAAAGATTTATTTATTTATACAAGAACCAGGGTACAGGCCAGATGCGTGGAGAGTGAGAGGATTCACCAGAGACAGAGTGGGGAACAGAACAGGCAGACTGACGAAATACACTGCTGAGGGGAGCACCGGCCAGAGTGGAGAGGTCTGCCGCACCACGTGGGATTCTCACCGGCTGGCCAGGATGCAACCAGCGCTGCAGTCTGTGGACAGCTTCACAGCGCTACACTCAACCACCTGCGCCACCAGGGGAGGGCCTTATGGTCTCAATTTTAGGACAAATGATGCACACAAAATAAAAGAGTGTTGTCATCTTTATTTTTTTCATACTAATTCCCTTGTATACATCAAAATTAGACAATTTATTATGGAAAAGAACTCCTTTGTTGCCACAATAAAAACAGGTTCAGCGATCATTCAGTCCATTATATTCACCAGAATTGTAGCAGAGTGACTATGTACACTTGCTTTGGAACCAGACACCTGGATTTAGATCTATATCTGCTGAACTTTTCAGCTATAGAAGCTTCATTAAGTCGGTCAACTTTGAGCCTCAGCATCAAAAACTGTACAATATAAATAATAATCCTAGATTAATAGAGTTTTTGTGAAGCTTAAATCAGATGATGGATGTAAAATATTGAAGGTATTTCTAGTGCATATTGTCCATTGCATACAATTTCATTTTTGCTATTTTCAATGCACATTTCTAGTGAATTTTTACTTGTTTTTTTTAAAATAAATTATCTTTGCTTATTTTAATTGATAAGCACACAAACAATGAAAAAGGAAAATCTCAAGGCTTCACAAATTTGGACTTTTAATAGTATCCTAATATTAGAGAAAATGGACAATATTGAAAAATATAAGGAAATAGAAATGTCCTAATAGTTACTGACACCTTAATGTCCATTCTTTAATTAAGTGTGTGTGCCTAGACATTGCATGTATAAGTAAAATTTCTGGTCTGTCACAAGTACCTTTTTGCAACTTTCTGATATAAATGAATTATTTTTAATTCCTTTGTCATTGAAACTTTGTAAGATGAATGCATATTGCATTGTTAAGGACCTGAAGTGTTGCACACACATCAATTTAAAACTCTGCATGTAATAAAATATCTTTGGTTTCTACCTGAAAAAATAATTTTTTTTAATTATAAATTTTATTTTTATATTCCCCATACAATTGCAATCCCCTGATTTGGACCACAATCCCTCCCCTCCTTGCCCCCCACCCCCCATAGAGTGTCTCTGGTTCATAGTTGTTTGTTGATTTTGATTTTTACTTTCTTATAGTTATTCTTTTTCCTGGTCCCTTATTTAAGTTTTCTAGATTCCTGCTATGAGTGAGACCATCCGGTATTTTTCGTTTTTTTTATGGCTTATTTCGCTGAGCATGATCCCTTCTAGCGCCATCCATGTTGCTGAAAATTGCATGTGTTTATCTTTTTTGAATGCTGAATAATATTCCATGGCATATATATACCACATCTTCTTGATCTAGTCATCTATTTTTGGTCATTTGGGTTGTTTCCAAAGCTTAGCTATTGTAAATAGTGCTGCTATAAACATAGGGGTGCAGGTGCTCTTTGGAATTGATGTTTCTGTGTCCTTTGGGTAAATACCTAGGAGTGGAATTGCTGGATAATATGTAAGCTCTATGTTTAGTAGGTCAAGAAATCTCCACAAAACTCTCCATAGTGGTTAGACCAGTTTGCACTCCCACCAACAGTGCAGGAGAGTTCCTTTTTCTCCACAACCTCGCTAACATTTGTTGTTGCTAGTTTTTTTAATATGTGCTATTCTCACTGGTGTGAGATGGTATCTCATGGTAGTTTTGATTTGCATTTCCCTGATTACAAGTGATGTTGAACATTTTTTCATATGCCTGTTGGCCATTTGCATTTCTTCTTCAGAGAAGTTTCTTTTTAGCTCTTCTGCCCATTTTTTGACTGGATTATTTTCTTTGTTTTTGTTGAGTCTCATCAGCTCTTTGTATATTTTTGTGATTAGTCCTTTATCATTAGTGTTGTGTGCAAAAATTTTCTCCCAGTCAGTGGGGTTTCTCTTTGTTTTTGTTATTGTGTCTTTTGCTGTGCAGAAGCTCTTTAATTTGATGTAGTCCCAGCTGTTGATCTTTGCCTTCACTATCACTGCTTTGGGTAATGTGTCTGTAAATATGTCTTTGATGTGCATATCATGTAGTGTTTCGCCTATATTTCCTTCTATGTATTTTATGGTTTCAGGTTTTATGTCTAATTCTTTAATCCATTTTGAGTTGGTTTTTGTGTATGGTGTGAGGTAGTAGTCAAGCTTCATTCTTTTGCATGTAGCAACTCAGTTTTCCCAGCACTATTTATTGAACAAACTTTCTTTGCTCCAATGCATATTCTTTGCTCCTTTGTCAAAGATTAGTTGACCATAAATCTGTCAGTTTATTTCTGGATTTTCTATTTGATTCCATTGGTCTGTGTGTCCTTGTTCCAATACCATGCAGTTTTGATGATTATGGCTTTGCAGTATAGTTTGAAGTCTGGGAGTGTGATGCCTCCATTCCTTTCTTTTTTTTTTTTTTTCAGAAGAGCTTTGGCTATTTGGGGTTTTTGGTGATTCCATATGAATTTCATCAATAATTGTTCTATTTCTTTGAAGAATGACATTGAAATTTCTATTGGAATAGCATTGAATCTGTATATTGCTTTTGGTAGGATGGCCATTTTAGTAATGTTTATTCTTCCAATCCATGAGCAGGGGATATCTTTCCATTTCTTTGTGTCTTCTTATATTTCTTTTAACAGCGTTTTATAGTTTTCTTTGTATAGGTCCTTTACCTCTTTTGTTAGATTTATTCCCAAGTATTTGATTTTTTTTGTTTCGATAATAAAAGGGATTTTTTTTTTATTTCTTCTTCTTCAGATTTATTGTTTGTGTATAGGAAGGCTACTGACTTTTGCATGTTGATTTTGTATCCTGCCACTTTACTGAACTGATTGATGAGTTGAATTAGTTTTTCTGTGGAGTTTTTGGGGTTCTCTATGTATATTATCATATCATCTGCAAATAGTGATAGTTTGACTTCTTCTTTTCCTATTTGGATTCCTTATATGTCTTTCTCTTGTCTTATTGCTCTGGCTAGGACTTCCAGTATTATATTGAAAAGCAGTGGTGAGAGTGGACATCCTTGTCTTTTTCCAGATCTTAATGGGAATGCTTTCAGCTTTTCACCATTGAGAATGATACTGGCTGTTGGCTTGTCATATATGGCCTTTATGATGTTGAGGTATGTTCCTTGTATCCCAAGAATTTCAAGGGCTTTTATCATGAATGGGTGTTGTACTTTGTCGAAAGCTTTCTCAGCATCTATTGATATTATCATATGGTTTTTGTATTTCTTTTTGTTGATGTGTTGGATAACATTGATTGATTTTTGGATGCTGAACCATCCTTGTGTCCCTGGAATGAATCCTACTTGGTCGTGGTGAATTATCTTATGGATACATTGTTGGATTCTGATAGCTAAAATTTTATTGAGGATTTTTGCATCAGTGTTCATTAGGGAGATTGGTCTGTACTTTTCTTTTTTTGTGTTGTCCTTGTTCGGTTTTGGTATTAGTGTAATGTTGGCTTCGTAGAACGTGTTTGTTATTATCCCTTCCTTCTCAATTTTTTGGAAGAGTTTGTGAAGGATAGGCACTAATTCGTCTCTGAATGTTTGGTAGAATTCATTTGTAAATCCATCAGGTCCTGGGCTTTTGTTTTTGGGGAGGTTTTTGATTACCGTTTCAATTTCGCTGCTTGTAATTGGTCTGTTTAGGTGTTCTATTTCTTCTTTATCTGGCTTTGGGTGATTGTAGAGTTGTAGGAATTTGTCCCTCTCCTCTAGATTGTTGAACTTGTTTCCATATAACTGTTCATAGTAGTTACTGAATATTCTTTTGATTTCTGCTGTATCTGTTGTGATTTCTCCTCTTTCATTTATGATCCCGTTTATTTGTGCTTTCTCCCTTTTTACCTTTGTGAGCCTGGCTAGGGGTTTGTCTATTTTATTGATTTTTCAAAGAACCAGCTCTTGGTTTCATTGATCTTTTGGATTGTTTTTTTTTTTTTTTTAGTTTCGATTTCATTTATTTCTGCTTTGGTTTTTATTATTTCTTTTCTTCTATTGTTTTTTTTTGTTGTTGTTGTTCTTTTTCTAGATCTTTGAGATTCCATATTAGGTTGTTTCTTTGATTTCTTTCTTGTTTCTTGATGTGAGCCTCTTTTGCTATATATTTTCCTCTTATTACTGCTTTTGTTGCATCCCATACATTTAGGAAATTGGTGTCCTCCTTGTCATTCAATTCAAAGAATTTTTTAATTTCTTCTTTGATCTCCTCATTAGTCCAGTGGTCTTCCAGAAGTGTGCTTTTCAATCTCCATGAAGTAGGAGAGTTCCTTGCCTTCTTTTTGTGGTTTATTTCTAGTTTGATGCCTTCATGGTCAGATGGTTGGTATGATTTCAATCTTGGTGTATCTGTTGATGTTTGTCTTGTGTCCCAGTATGTGATCAACCCTGGAGAATGATCCGTGTGCGCTTGAGAAAAATGTGTACTCAGATTTTTTTGGGTTTAGTATTCTATAGATGTCTGTTAAGCCCAAGCGCTCTAGATCCTTATTTAGATCTTTAGTGTCTTTACTTATTTTTTGTCTCATTGATCTATCCAATGTTGATAGTGGTGTGTTGAAGTCTCCCACTACA